AGTTGGCGCGGCTCCCGAGACCCCCGCCCGGCTGCGCTGCGTCCATCGCCCGCCCGGAGCCGCAGGCGCGGGGGCTGCCAGCGCCGCCCCCGGGAGCCCTGCGCCCTGCCCTGGCATCCCGGCCCCCTCACGGGGCGGCAGAGGACTCGCCCCCGCCTTGTCGAGAGCCGCCACTGAGCGGGTCAGACGTAGGGCCACGGGGCACACACCCAGCCATGACCAGGGTCTGAATGACAGGGGAGCCGGGGGACAGGGGGACGGCTGAGCCCCCCACCCACCCCCCGTAAGAGACAAGAGCCGGGGGTGGCCATGGAGGCACCTCAAGAATAGAGGACAGTTACATTTAGTGCATCCATGAGCGCTGTGGGCCTCCCGAGGCTGGTGGGTCATGGCCAGCTCCCGGAGGCAGCTGTGAGTGGGGAACTGCCACAGGCAGGATGAGAAAACGGGAGTGTCCTCTATAAAACCAGACAAAGGGCCACCCTACAAGAGCCCCCCTGAAAGATTTGAAAATCATCACCTGAGGGCACGGCCATCCGCAGGGGTGGGGGCAATCGGGGTGACTTCCCCAGGCACCGCGCTTTGGGGGGGCCCCACAGAGCTGGGCCAGCTTCAGGTGTGGCCGCTTGCCACACAATGAAGGGGAGAGTGGACTGGGCATGACCAGGGTTTCTTTTGCTCCATTCGTCCCCCACTTGCAGCCTCCAGCATTTTTTAATCTGGCCAACCTGTCAGCCTCCACCATATCTGGTGGCAACGAATGACAGGCTGTGTGAAAAAGAGCGTCCTTTGGTTGGTTTTGAACTTACCACCCACTCGTTTCATTGTGGAAGAGTAAATCATAAAACCCTGCTTCCTTTCTCTTTGCCATTTAGTATGTCCCCTCTCCAGCATCTCTTTTCTAAACAGAATACATCTAGCCTCTTTAGTCTCTCCTCATGTGGAAGCGCCTTCATATTGCTAATCATCCTTGTTGCCCTTTTCTGGACCTTCTCTAGTTCTTCTATATGCTTTCTTCAGTGTGGAGACCAGAACTGGGCACAGCATTCAAGGTGTGGATGCACCATGGATTTATAAAGGGGCATGGTGATATTTGTTCACTTCTGCTGATCTGCCCAGTTTTACCCTTGCTCTGAAGCCAAGCGCATGAATTAGATGTATGCGATAGCTGAAGGTGGGCAGCATCACCCAGGTGGAAAGAGGTGGGCATACACGTATTTGAGTCCAAGGCTGTAAAAAACATCAACTTCCTTCAGGATGGCATATGTCTCCTACCACATCATATTTAATTGTACTTCTTTCAAGAGCAGATTGGACAGATGCTTGGCTGGGATGGTTCAGTCAGGGGCAACCCTGCTTTGAGATGCGGGCTGGATTAGATGAGCTGGTGAGGTCCCCTCCGGCCCTACTTTCCCATCAGCCGATCTAGAATTTTGAAAAGCAGGGTGCAGATGGTGAGGTGCATTATCACGTACAACATTTTTCTCCAGCTAAAAAGAAACTAGAAGCTTTACTAATATGCTAGGGGCATAGGGCTATTCAGTTTAAGATTGAAGCAAAAACAAACAACTTCATTGGAATGAGCTAAAAAGAGTCTGCAGGGCTGTGAAATAGGAGCTTCATTACCAGGAGCAGTTAACAGAGCAGAATTGCAGAACAAAGGATAGCTTGATGGGTGGACCATCAAAACCATTAAAAAGAAGATAGGGGTGTTGACACCTATGGAATGAAGAGTTTAGAAGGGATGGTGTACATTATGAGCCATGAAGTCAATCGACTCCCTCAGCACTGCCTGAGTAGAAATGCTGCTGCCACTGCCAGGCAGCTGGTTTTAAACTGTGGGTGGGGTGCAAGTGCACCCCCTTAGATCCCTCCCCATTCTTTCGTATGATCCTACGAAGTAAGCTGGTGAAATAAAGTACATGAAATGGGAGTAATCCAAAATTAGACCATATGTCTGCAAACCCAGGCTCAGCATGACCTGTGTGAGGAACTCTGCTGAGCTCAACCAGACAACTCCCAGTCCTAACCTTAAGCACTCTCATCAGTGTGTGCATGGCCAGGACCAAGACTGATCCAGAACATGATGCTCACACAGGCCTTGAGATGTCCCAGAGATGCCAGTACAGAATGAGCACAGAACAGATGACAGAAAGGGGCAGAAAAAGTTTTGTAGTTAGAATAATGAACTGCCCAACTGCATGTAAGCAACACACACATTTGGGTGTTGGGGAAAGACAATATTTAACTAAAACCTACAGGCTAGACAGGGGAGGTAGGGATAAGACAGGGCTTTCCCAAGTAAAGAAGATTTAAACTCAGGACTCCTGGATTCTCTTCCTCACTTGCTATATGTTCCTGGGTTTAGGGTCTGATTTATACGATTCTTATTCACACTGGGTAACCACTTACTCACTTGAGTAATTTTTACTAAATCAGTTGTATTACTCATGTGAGTGAGAATTCACCAAAGGGGATAAGGACCTTGCAGTGGGTCCTTAACTCCTTTGCTTGGATAAAATGAGGCAAAAACTACATTACAGAGCATAGGACAAGGCACCAATGGCCTTCAATTGCAGCAAAGGACATTTAGGCTAGAATTTCTGAAGACCTTTCTCACTGTGCAGGTGCATAAGCACTGGAACAGACTATCCAGAGGGATTGTGGAATCTCCATTCTTATAAGTTTTTAAGAGCAGGTTAGGCAATCATTTGGTTGAGATGATTTAGATAGGGATGATCCTGACTTGGGAAACGACCCCCCGAGGTCCCTTCCAGCCCTACCTTTCACCAGTTCTTTGATTCTATGGATGACCGGGCTTACAGGGAAGATTTAGTTAATATTCAGAAAACAATCACTTTGTGATACCTAGCTATTCTAATTAATTGAAGTATTAATTTAAAAGTTGAATTAACTTGCAGTTACCTCATTTTCCCTTTTTCCTGTTAAGGTAAGCTGTACTGCAATTGGGACAAGGGGAAATTACCCTGAAATTCAGAAGATGGAAGTCCTGGCCCCATTCAAGTCAATCAGAGTTTTGCCAATGACCTCAGTGTGCCATATTCTACTTTTTAACTGAAAGAAGAGAGAGTCAATGTAATTGAGTACCTTGTGCCAGCATTTGGAAGTCAGCTAATGTGTCACTTAAGTTACTGACTGGCTGCTTGTCAGAATGTATTGGCACTGAGCTAAGAGAGACAGTCATTACTATAGACCAAACCATGATGAGGAACAGTCAGCATGGATTCACAAAGGGCAAGTCATGCCTGACTAACCTGATTGCCTTCTATGATGAGATGACTGGCTCCATGAATGCAGGGAAAGCAGTGGATGTGATATACCTTGGCTTTAGCAAGGCTTCTGACATGGTCTCCCATAACATTCTTGTAAGCAAGCTGAGGAAGTATGGGTTGGATGCATGGACTGTAAGGTGGATAGAAAGCTGGCTGGATCCCCAGGCTCAACAGGTAGTAATCAATGGCTCAGTGTCTAGCTGGCAGCCATTAGTATCAAGCAGAGTGCCAGGGGCCAGTACTGGGGCCGGTTTTGTTCACTATCTTCATTAACAATCTGGAAGATGGAATGGAGTGCACCCTAAGCAAGTTCATGGATTACACCAAGATGGGGAGAATACTAGATATGCTGGAGGGTAGGGTTAGGATTCAGAATGACCTAGACAGGAGGAAGATTGGACCAAAAGAAATCTCATGAGGTTCAACAAGGACAAGTGCAAAGTCCTGCTCTTAGGATGGAAGAGACCCATGCACAACTACAGGCTTGGGCCCAACTGGCTAAGCAGCAACTCTTGGGGTTACGGTGGACAATAAGCTGGATATGAATCAACAGCTATTCATTTCTACCTAGGAGTACAACCTTTTCTCCTATGCCTGAAGAAGAGTGCTTGTGCCTGAAAGCCTGCAATTAAAGAAATTTGTTTGCAAAAATCTAGTTAGTCTAATAAAAGATATCACCTCTGCCACGAGTTCTGATTCCTAGCGGGCTGATGAAATCTCCATCTTTGGCGATTTTTAAGGCCTGGCTCAACAAAGCCCTGACTAGAATGACCTAGTTGGGGATGGTCCTGCTTTGAGCAGGGGGGTTAGACTGGAAGACCTCCTGACATCCCTTCCAACCCTCAAGTTCTCATTTTATGACTAGGACACACATACTCAAGTTCAGTAGGTTCTTCCCTGCTGTGTAGTACCCTTCACTTCTCCAATCAGTTTTCAACTTGGATGCAGGATAGAGCTATGATTTCCTTCCAAGGTCTTCCTTTGCAGCCACATCAATGAACCTGTGATTTCTGAAATCAAGACTGAGGACTTCATCTAAAGCCCATGAAAATGAGCAAACAGTTCTCTATTAACTTCAGGGGGCTTTGGGTTAGGTCTGAAGTGATCTCTCATTGACTGGTAATTTCTTCCTCCTTTCTTACCATAAGTATGCCCTTCACACACATTGCTTCATACACATGACTGTGTGAAAGAGGGAGAGGCTTAAAAATTAATTAAGTTGATCTTTTACTCTCAATTTAATTGACAAAGCTCATTTGGAGCAGCTTGATTACATTTCAGAGCAGATTATCAAATGCCAGTCCAAAGGAAAAAATATGAAAGCAATTGCACTAAGTGCAGTTGGCTATATGCAACATGAACATTAATTAGCTTTAGTACAGTATGTGCCTGACACTTCTTCATTTTTGCTTATACCAGCACATATCACAT